ACTCATCGAGGTGGACTTAGAAGCCAGGATTGCGGTTCACAACGGAGCCGTCGTTGCGTCGTCGGTGTCGTTAGCCAGGCTTCTCACCTCTGCCCTTGGGACCTCAGGGGGCAAGCTCCAAGCGGTCGCCACCAACTTAGGTTGCGATTTTACGGCGGGCAAGTCTTTCGGGTGCAATGGCGCTGCTGCTAAGCGCAAGGTTAGGCTCAGGACTGCGACGGTCAGAGGGCAACGCCTGCGTAAGCTCACCGCGACCGCGGGTCAACGATGTCGCAAGATTGTTACTACGGGGCTCCTTCCCGCTGGGGCTTTCGGGGCCGCCGTCGACGGGCTCAGCAACAAGTCCTTGTATAGGCTGCAATCTCTTGAGATTGCCCAGATCACTCCGTGTTCCTCTAGGAAATCCTGAAGCGCGGCCTTCGCCCTCACGGGGTCCAGGGCCGACCGTTGGGCCCTCGGGCCCGTCCTCAGGTGGGCCCAGGAGGTGTGGAACACTACGCTCGGCAAGTATGTGACCCCAGGGACCATAGGACTGCTCGAGCTCAAGGAGATTTATAACCACGTGCAGCCAGCAGGACATTTGAGTTATAACGCCGTGCGAGGACCACTCAGCGCGGCAGCTCACGCGCTTCAACGTATTGGCTGGAGTTTCACATCCGCGTTTACGCTGCAGGACCACTTTGGCAGGACGGTCAGGCTCACTGACACCTCGCCGAGCCTGCTTTCCGACTTGCTTCACCAAGGATGCCAGAGGAGATGGGAAACCATGGCCGCTAAGAGCATACCCAGCCCAACCCCCATGAAGCGAGTGTGTTTTGACATTGTTCGTTCCCTGCTTTCCCCCAAAAGCAAGAAGTTACCCCCCAGGTTTAAGGCTATCCTCCAAGCCCTTGTGGTCCAGGGTTGGTGGACCGAGGAAAAACTCGCTAATATAGGCTATGATGTGCCTAATGAATGCCCGCTCTGTAAAGCCTTCGGGGACACCATACACCACCGTCTTTTCTCTTGTCAGCATCCAGAGGTTGTCGCCCTCAGGACAGAGCTGCTGCCGCCAGACGTTTTGCAGGCCGCGCTGGAGGCGCCAGAGAACAGCCCCCTGTACTGCTTCGGTCTTTTCGAGCATCCAGGGGAGCAGCATGATGATTTTCCGCTGCCCAGGGAGAAGCCCATTGTTCGATTTGTCAGACACGACGGTCAGCCAGACACGGTACCGCACTTTGGGGGGCTCACGGGAACTGACGGGTCGTGCACCAAGACAGGCATTGCGGAGTTAGACAGAGCGACGTTTTCGGTAGTGGCTTACAGTACCGACGGGGCCCCAGAGGCCTCATTTTATGGCGCTGTTGCAGCCAACCTCCCCCAGACTTCTCAGGCTGGGGAGCACATGGGCTTCCTGGTGCTCCAGGAGGCCCTCACCAAACCTTCCAAGGCCTGGGTGGACTGCAAAGCGGTCCTTGATCAGCACGCTAGGCCACTGCCGACACGTCTCAGCATCAAGCTAAAGTACTCAGGCCTGCACAAGCTAGCGCTTGCGCGGGACAGCAGACACCTCCTCGAGACGGCCTCTAAGGTCAAGAGCCATCAGAATGTGAACTCACTGGCTGGAGAGGCCAGACTCGCTGCCGAGATCAACACAGCAGCGGACAAGATGGCGAAGGCGGCAATGGACTGCCACCCAAGTTTCAACCCGACAGCGCTGCAGGAGTTGCAACGCAAAATAGAGGCCGCTCGAGCGATTGGTTTATATGCGCCCAGAGTTCTCGCCCTATGCCAGCGCAATAGGCACAAATGCGAGAGAGCCGCTCTGCCCTGTAAGGTTCAGGCCACCATCGTCGTGCACGACTGGGAGGTTCTTCAGGGGCCGATACCGTACAGGTGCAGAGCTTGTTTTACGTACGCCCGATCTTATAAGGCAGCCGTCGCACGAGAGAGACAAGCATGTCAGCCTCTGGCCAGCGCATGCAGGCGCGGCCTCGAAGGCATCCACGCCAGCCACCAGATGGCAATAGCGCATTTTGCCGTGCCAGTTGTCTTTTGTTTAGTCTGCGGGCGCTATGCCCAGTATGCTTTCAGAGGCTTGCCAGCCACTTGTCCTGGACGCCCTCCCAAGAGCGGCGGACGTGCGAACATCAGAAATCGTCTTCTGGCTGGCAAGCATCCAAGGTTTTCAGATTTTGCTTCAGAGTCCGAGCGGTACAACACCGCAGAAATTCAAAGGCAGCAGCGGGCGCAGCGTGAACGTGCAGCAGCGCGCGCAGCGACGCCACTCCCGAGTCAGCCGCACCCAAGATCGGAGCCTCGCCCACAGAGGTTCGAGGCTGGTCGAGGGCGCCAGCAGCTTTCCAGCAGGCGCCAAGAGGAGGATGGGGAACTCATCCCTCCTGTGGGTTTTGGCGAGGACGACTCGGGATCGTCGGACTAGGCCCCCGTCCAAGGCCCACCGCCACCTCGGCGGTGCTGTGCGCTTGTGAGGGGCCACCCGCCCGACGGTCTCTGCCCTGGGTCCCCGCCACTGGCACGCCCAGGCACCGTCGGGCCACCCCACCTGGAGGGTGACTGGCCAGAGCCGCGTGCGTATGGCCCGAGCATGGAGAAAAAAAAAAAAAAAAAAAAAAACCTCCTCCCCTCCCTCCTCCTCCCCCTCCCCCCCCCCTCCCCCTCCCCCCTCCCCCCCCCCCCTGCTCCTCGCTCGTTCCCTTTCTCCCCATGCACTCCCTGCTCCACCGGCCCTCCCACCCTCGCCCCCCTTCCCCATGGACAGTTATACCCGACACTACCTCCACTCCATTGTCCCGCAACGCACAATGTTTTTTGCGCGGCCGCGCCTCTCGTGCGCACATAAGTACCATTTCCCACAAACAGAGTTCCAAGTATATGTCATACGTGTTTTTCCACCCCGATCGTCGTCGGCCTGGCCTTCCTCCATGCGCATTTCTCCCAGGATCGTCTTCGGTCGTTCGTCTGCGGCCGTCCCAGAGGGCGCCTGTCGCCTGGTGCTCATCACTCCTGCCTGCCCCCATCTGCAGTTACTCCGCGTGAGTACCAGGATTCTCTTTTGTCCCCAGGTGCTGTTTCGGTTTGCCGTGGCTTATCCCAATGCCCGCGCCTTGCCACGCCGGCGGACACCGGCCTGCTCGGAAGCCCGCCGCCGCCGTCGTCGTCGTCGTCGTCGTCGGCCACGCCGTCGTCTTCGTTCTGGTCGCCGTCGTCGTCCGCGTCATGGTCGACGTTATCATCCTCATCTTCCTAGTCGTCCGCCTTGCCTTTCTATTCCTCCCCTTGGTCCTCCGCCTCCCCCTTCTGAATCCTTATCCTGGCCCCTTTGCCCTCTCGCGCTGCAAACACGATTCGACGATCGAGGTAGGATCCAGCAGCTGGATGCTAGGCAGGGGCAGGATGTCAGATGTGGCGCACGCGGACCTGGCTTACCCCTACCATTCTGCTAAACCCCAATCCGATGGCACCTCAACATTCCACCAGTGCAGGCAGAGAGACTGAGCAGAAGGAGGAGGCCAGATGTAGGAGGCTAAAACAATCTTCCCCACATGTTCCTCATGATCCTCGTTCCTGCTCCTCCTGCTCCTCCTCCTCCTCCTCCCCTCCTCCTCTTCTTCCTCTCCTCCTGCTCCTCCTCCGCCTCCCCTCCTCCTCCTCCCTCCTCCTTCTCCTCCTCCGCCTCCCCTCCTCCTCCGCCTCCTCTTCCTCCGCCTCCTCCTCCCGTCCTTCGCCTGGTCCTCCGAGTGGAGGCCCCCTTCCCACCCTGGCCCCCATCCCATCGGGACGATCGAAGTGAACCAGAAAACTTGGCGGCGACGACCAACGGCAGTTCCTGTCCTCCTCCTCCTCCTCCTCGTCGTCCTCCTCATCATCCTCCTCCTCCCCTCCTCCTCGTCGTCTTCCTCCTCCTCATCATCCTCCTCCTCTTCCTCCTCCTCATTATTATTCCTGTCATCTTCCTCCTCCTTCTCTTCCTCCATCTTCTCCTCCTCCTCCTCCGTCCTCCTCCTCCTCCTCCCCCTCCCCCTCCCCCTCCCCCATCTCCCTTCCTTCTCGTCCTCCTCCTCGTCCTCTTCCTCCTCCGTCCTTCTCTCCTCTCCTCATCCTCCCTCCTCCTCCTCCTCCTCCTCATCCTCCTCTTCCTCCTACTCCTCATTATTCTTCCCCTCATCTTCTTCCTTCTGTTTCTCCTTCGTCTCCTCCTCCTCGTCCTCCTCGTCCTCCCTCGTCCTCCTCCTCGTCCTCCTCCTCCTCCTCCTCCTCCTCCTCCTCCTCCTCCTCCTCCTCCTCCCCTCCCCCTCCCTCCCCTCCCCCTTCGTCTCGTCCTCCTCCTCGTCCTCCTCCTCCTCCTCCGTTCGTCCTCCTCCTCCTCTTCCTCCTCTTCCTCCTCATTGTTGTATCCCTCATTGTTCTTCTCCTCTCCTCCTCCTCCTCGTCCTCCTCGTCCATCTCCTCGTCCTCCTCCTCCTCCTCGTCGTCCTCCTCCTCCTCCTCATCCTCCCCTCCCCCTCCCCTCATCCTCCTCCTCTTCCTCCTCTTCCTCCTCATTGTTATATCCCTCATCTTTTTCCTCCTTCTGTTTCTCCTTCTTCTCCTCCTCCTCCTCCTCCTCGTCCTCCTCCTCGTCCTCCTCCTCCTCCTCCTCCTCGTCGTCCTCCTCCTCTCCTCCCCTCCCCTCCCCTCGTCCTCCTCCTCGTCCTCCTCCTCGTCCTCCTCCTCCTCCTCCTCTCGTCCTCGTCGTCCTCCTCCTCCTTCTTCTCCTCCTCCTTCTCCTCACCCTCCTCCTCCTGCTCCTCTTGCTCCTCCTCTCATCCCATCTCTCTCCACGTTCCCTCTCCAGCGACCCGTCGTCTCAGAGGAACAGTGTCCGCATCAGCGGACATTGTTTCTCTGAGACGAAGGGTCGCTTGCCCAACAGCGGCCGCTGCCGGTGTTGGACAGCATTGGCTGTGGGGTATCGGGCCCATTCTGGTTCGTGCCTGTTTCGGGTTTGCCGATCCCAGGACGAGGCCAAGGCGGGCCTACAGATGGCGGCCGAGAAGGTGGAAAAAATGGAAGCGGTGAAGCGGGAGGCCCAGGAGAAGCTCGCGGAGGCGCCCTCCTGCGGATTGCCTTCGTCGCCGCAGCCGTCGCCGTCGGAGGAGCAGGAGGAGGGAGGCGGCGAAGGAGGAAAGGGAAGAGGAGGAGGATGAGGAGGAGGAGAAGGAATGGGATGCGGAGGAGGAGGAAGAGGAAGAGGAGCGGAGGGGGGCGGAGAATGGAGGAATGAGGAGCGGGGAGGGAGGAGAGCAGGAGAGGGAGGAGTGGGACTCCGAACTCAGAACGTGGCGAGGCCCGCACGTGGGGGCCAAGTACCAAAAGAGAAAGCGAGACGACGACACGACGAAGGTGAGACAGGCTGCTTCCAGCCTGCAGGGCCAGCTGCGGCTCACAATAACCTCGATGCTCTAGACTGTGCTTGCTCATCCTTCTAATCCTCCTCATCCTCCACTCCTGTTTATCTGAATGGCCTCTAGGGTGTGCCGCCGATCCAAGGTGCTCCTGGTGTTTGAGGGCCGCCACCGCGCAGCGAGGAGCGAAGTGGTTTGAGATTCGAGGTGTTCGGAGCTCTTCGCTGGTTATCGGTGCAGCGCTTCCGCTGCCGAGCAGTACTAAGTCAGACCATGCACCGCTGGCCAGGCAGAGCGCGAGGCGGCGCCTCTTGGGGCCACTCGGTGGCACTCGGGGGGCTTGCTGGCGGCCCCCTGGGTGCCTCTTGGAGGTCTCTTGGGGCCTCACGGGGGCGCCTCGGGAGCTTCTTGGCGACTCTGGGGGTCATCTTGGTGCGAAGGGCTCGAAGGGTCAGGTCGAGTTCCTCTCTTGGGGCCTTCTTGGTGGCCTCTTGGGGTCGTGTTGAGGGCCTCCCTTACAATCTTGGGCCTCTCCTGGGCCTTCTTGGGATCCTCTCGGGGGTCTCTTGGGCTGTCTAGGGGCGGTCCTGTGGGCCTCGTGGACCGTCTTGGGCGCTCTTAAGACCGAATCGACGAAATGGCTAAAATCATGTCATTGCCCAGGATTTCCGGCCGATTTTGGCCTCTTCGGACCATTTGGGGGGTCCTCGTGGGGCTCTCTTGAATCGTCTTGGAGACCTCTTGGACCATCTTGGGCGCCCTCGAGCTCGGTGGTCCCTTGGGCACCTTGTAGCCCGTCGTGGGGAGTTGTGGGTATTTAGTGCCCCCCCTGCACCCCTACCCTGGCAGAGCCACCCCGGCACCCCCCCCAGCAGAGCTGAAGCTCAGGTTGTAGTTTCAGTAGAGCTGAAACCCAATTTCAGCAGTTTTTCTCCAAATAGGCTTGCCCTTTAGGAGTCCTAGCTCAAACCCTACTACTTGGTCCGTTGCCCACCCTAATTCCTATGCCCCCCCTCATTCCTATGGCTATGCCTGTGTCTATGCCTATCCCCCCCTTTTCCAAAGGCCCCCCCCTTCTGTATGCTTGCTTGCCTGCGCGCTTGCTTGCTTGCGCGCTTGCTTGCTTGCGCGCTTGCTTGCACGCTTGCTTGCTTGCTGAGTTGCGGATTCCAAGCATGCTCGATTCCTCAGCCTCTGATTCCTTGGTTTGAGTCGTCTTATCTATTTGGAGATAGCGCTGGCTGATATTTTTAAGCACTCGCTAAAGCTCTCACGCTGGATCGGCGGACTTGTCATCGTCCTCCTCCTGATCGTTGCCATCATGCGCTCCCACACTCCTCAGTTACTCGTCATCAGTCCGTTGCTCCTGCTCCCCCCCCGTCCTCAACCTTTTGCGCCCCCTTTCTAGTCATTATCCCCTCCTGACCATAGCTCGCATGTTTTTCCTCCATGGTGCTGCTGCTCCTTCCCCTCTTGCTGCAACTCTCCCTCTCCATCTCTCCAGTATCCTCGCTCCTCATTGTCCTCTCTCCTCCTGCTCCTTTTCCCTCCTGCTCCACGCCCCGCTTGTTATCATTGTATGATCCTCGCTTATCCTTCTCTTCGCTCCTCTTGCCCTTTTTGCTCCTTGGTCCTGTTCCCGCTCCTTTCTCTTCCTCTTCCTCTCTCATCCTGCTCGTGCCTTTTTTTCTCGCCAACGAGGGGAACCAAGAACTGATGTCAGTGAGCTCTGGCGTTCACTCACATGGACTCTTGTCTTCACAGTCTCTCTCATCCTTCCCCCTGTTACTACCCTTCCCTCCCTGGCGCTTCTTCCTCCTCATCCTCCGTCATCTCCCTTTTCTTTCTGGTGAGTATATCCTCTTTGCCGTGCCCCAGGACGCGTCGACTCGCTTGAGAAGTCATCTCCACGGATAATTTTGAAGCTTGGGATGTGCAACAGTTGCACGGTTGGAGGGGCTCGTTTTCGAAATGGTCTTCTCGCAGGAGCGCCGCGGACATTCGTTTCAAAAGTGTGCAGCAGCTCCAGGATGGAGGGGGGGGGTGTTTTTTCAGAATGCAGTGCTCGTTCCAGTGCCGCGCACCCTCGTCTCGCGCACTCGAAGTTGCCTCGCGAGCGGTGGCGAGTGGCTTCATATGTGTTTCGATACGCGGCCCTCGCCGGAGCGCCGCGCACACTCGCCTTACTCGGGGGTGGAGAGACCTCCCACAGGAACAAAAAAAAAAAGCAAGGACTTGGCCGTTTTCGGCTCGCGAGAGGGCGCCGCGGCTGTCCATTTTGCGGGTCCAGCTCCGTCGGCTTCGCTTCGGTCTCCGACCTGTTTTCACTGAGGGGAGGTTTATGAAAGGGAGGTCTGCCCACCGCCGAACACAGCGAAGGCAACAGCAATTGCAGCATGAGGCATGAACTTTCGGAGCTCCTCGAACGAGGACCTCCGAGAAATCATGTTTATGCCGTCCGTCGGTTTCGGTCCCCGACCGTTTTCACTAAGGGGAGGTCTGCTAAGGGGAGGTCTGTCCACCGCCGACTGTACAGGTTCTCGGGGCAGCTTCGCGGACGGAGGGCGGCTCCTCCGTTTCAGAGTGTGCGGTGCGCGCCGCGGCGCCGCGCGCACGCTCGCGTCAGAGTCGGCTGGCAGCAGCTCTGCGGATGGATGGAGGGGCGTTCTCACAACGTGGTCTTCGCCGTCCGCGCCGCAGAGTTTCCAATTGGTCGGGGGCGGACAGACCTCCTACCCTGACACGTCGATTCAGGAAGTGGCCGTTTTCGGTTCGCGAGAGGGCGTCGCGGCCGTCATTTTCGCGGGTCCAGCTCCGTCGGTTTCGGCTCCAGGCCGTTTTCACTAAGGAGAGGTTTACTAAAGGGAGGATTGTCCACCGCCGAATTGATCGCTTGCAGCAGCAGCTTCACGGATGGAGGGCGGCGTTTTCAAAGTGCAGTTCTCGCTGTAGCGCTGGGCACGTTCGCCTGAAAGTTTCGCAATTGCACCACGGAGGTCCGGTTTCGGAAGGTGGTTCTCGCATCAGCATTGCGCACATTCGTCTGAAAAAATGCAACGACTTCACGCATGAAGGGGGCCGTTTTCAGAATGTTGTTCTCGCTTCAGCGCCACGCTCACTCGTCTAAACATTTGCAACCACTTCTTGGATGGATAGGGGCATTTTCAAATGTGGTTTTCGCTGTCAGCGCCGCGGACTGTCGCATTAATAGTTTGCAGCAGCTTCACTGATATAGAGGGCGGCGTTTTCAACATGCGGTTCTCGTTGTAGCGCCGGGCACGTTCGTCTGAAAATTTCGCAATTGCATCACAGATGGTCCTTTTCAAAATTTGGTTATCGCTTTAGCGCCGCGCACATTCTTTTCAAAAGTTTGCAACAACTTGACGGATGGAGGGGTGGCCTTTTGAACAGTCGTTCTCGCTTCAGTGGCTCTCACCTTCGTCTGAAACATGTTGGCATCAACTTCATTCATGGAGAGGGGCTGTTTTCAAAATGTTGTTATCGTTTTTGAGCCACGCATGTTCGCTTGAAGGATTTGCAGCAGCTTCATGCATGGAAGGGGGACGTTTTCAAATAGGATTTTCGCTTTCAGCGCCGCGCACATTCATTTTCAAAGCTTGCAGCAGCTTCACGGATAGAAGGGCTGCCTTTTCAGAATGTCGTTCTCGCAGTAGCGCCGCGGACATTCGTGTTCATAGTTTGCAGCAGTTTCACGGGTGGAAGTGGGGTTGTTTTCAAATTGTGGTTCTCGGTTCGTCGCCGCGCACATTCCTCGGAAAAGTTTGCACTAGCTTCACGGATGGAGGGTGGTTCCGTTTCAAAATGGGGGTCCCGCGTTCGCGTCGCGCACATTCGCTTTCAAATCGTGCAGCAGTGTTCACAATTGGGTGCTACTCGTTTTCAGATGTGGGCTCGCGCCCCATCGCCGCGCGAACTTGTGTTTAACTGCAACGTCTAGCAGGGCGGAGGACTTGCACTTTTCTACAATCGAGTTTTTTGTTTGAGACGTTTTTCAGTGTAATACTCAACGCACGTCGCGCGGCACGTGTCCGTGCCGGCTCATGTTTCAAAATGTGTGTTGTCGGTTGAGTAGTTTATCTGTTGTTTCCCCTCGGAGTTCATGACCACAAGTGGAAAGTGTTGCACCAGCTACGCGGTTGGGGGGTGGTCTTTCTTCGACGGGGGGATCTAGTGGAACATCTCGCTGAACTGTATGACCAGTGTTTTCGCGTTTCTGCTTACGCGCAAGACAGATGCCAACCACATCAATCCTTTTCAAGGTGGGGACCTCGCCAACATGGCGCGTCCAATTGGAGTGGTGTTTCAAGGGGGCGCTTCTGATGCCGAAGAGAAAGACTTGCAGGGGAGCATGCGGACGATACTTGCGACGGGGTGAATTGCAGCATCGCGTGTGCATCTTTGGTTGATTCTGGTCCTCCTCAAACTCCGTACCTCTCTTCCTCCCCTCCTCCTCCCCTCCCCTCCCTCCTCCCGGGCGAGCGCCGCGGTCGGCAGGTTGTTGATGTATTTACTCATGGTGCCCTCCCAGAGGATCCCCGATGATCCCCCTCATTCCGATCCCCATCCGTTCCCCTTTCTCCCGAGACCCCCGACGTCATGCTTTTTGTCATCACGTCGACCACCAGAAGTCTCGACCCATTCTCCAGGACCGGTTTTCATCCCGAGACGCTTTTCGACGTTCCCGAGGCCCGGTGAGGGCCCCCAGAGGCTGAAGATAGCGAAACACCTTCCGTCGTGATTGTTTCACCACTCGAGGGGGCCTGGGTCCCCCCCCAAGTCTCCCCCCCCATCTTTTGCCTCGCCACCCTCCCCTCTTCTTTCCTTCCCGAGCGCCCCCAGGCGGCGAGGCGGCGAGAGGAGGTCCAGAAGCTCGCCGAGGAGCTCCTAAAGGACAGCCGGCCCCGCCGCCCTCGACGCGCGCGCCGTGAAGAGAAACAATTCCCCCTGCTTCTTAGAAGGCGCGGGCCGTCTCTGTAGATGAAGGGCCGGCGCCTTCTAAGACGCAGCCTTCTTGTCAGAAGCTTTGCCCCCTCCCCCCACCCCCCAGTGCGCGCCGCCAAGTGGAGAGACACAAAGCACCACGGGAGGCTTCTGGCCACGTTCGGCTTCAGGGGGCCTCGGTGTGGGGTTCGAGGCCGAACGAGATCCTGGCAGGGCCAGCAGGCCGGCAGACAGCATCGGAGTCGCAAGTCGTCTGCCATGAAGGAAGCAGGTCCTGAGGGAAACGGGGTCTGCGGTTCTTCGCCGTTTTCGGGCTCTCGTCGGCCACGCGCAGAGGGGGGTAGGGGGAGGGGGGGAGGCTTCTCAGAAGCACCTTGCTTCTCAGAAGGCGCGGGCCTTGTCTACAGATGTAGGCCCGCGCCTTCTAAGAAGCAGCCTCCTTCCAAGACGCCTTCCCCCCTTACCCGACCCCCCTGTGCACGCCGCCAAGGTTCTCGGGGCCCTCGACGGGCCACAGGATCGTCAAAACCTACCAGGGATGAAGATCTGGCTCCGGGGAAGGGCCCCCGGGGTCCAGGACCCGTTTCCCTCGGGACCCGCTTCCTTCACGCTGAGTCGTGACCGCACTCGTCCGCCGTTGGCCCCCCCACGGAGCCCGAGGAGTTGGAGTCGCTCGTGGACGAGGCGGAGAAGGCGGTCAAGACGCTGAAGGACAAGGCGGCCCGCCGCACGGCCCTGCCCGGCCGGAGCCCGACCAAGACGCCGGCTTTCGCGCGAGGGGAGGGGGTCTTGCGGGCTTTGTCGCCGCTCTCGGGCTTCGCGGGGCCCTTCCCGGGCCCGGGGGCCGTGAAAGAGCGACTCGGGATGAGAAGCTGAGTTTGAGGAACGGCCTGGGGGTCCAGCACCCGGTTCTCGCCAGGGCCCGCTTTTCCCAGCACGCCAACGGCGGGTACGATGCATCCTTGTTTGTCCTGCTATCCGCGGTCATTTCGTGTACCTTGTACCCGACGCGTGTCCGACGTGGTTTCCACACGGACGGCCATGGGGCAGGTCGCAGGGGTCGACTTTTTTCCCATCTCTTCCGTCCTCTTCCGCCCTGCTTATCCTTCCTTGATCTTTCCTCTCCTCTTTCTCCTCCTCCTTCCTCACCCTTCCCGTCCTCATCGTCCTTATCCCTTTCTTCCTCGTTTTCCCCCTCCTCCTCCACCTCCTTCTCGCCTCTGTTCTACTGCATTGCAAGCGCTTGTTTTGTTGACCATTCGGCCTATGTCCTGGGCATCGCTGCCGGTGCTGCTGCTTCGCCTCCCCCTGTGGTTGAGTTGGCCTCCTCCTGCCCATGCTCGCGTCGTCCTCCCCGATGGACGAGGGGAGGGTCCCCCGGGCCCCGGGTCCTGCCGGCGTCTGGAAGTTTCCCTAAGCAGCTTGTCTGCAAGGGTGCTTCTGAAGAAAAAGCAAACACAAAAAGCCGAGCACGGGCGGACACGGACCTGGAATCGGTCGGGCGCCGATTGTCTCCCGTTGTCTCCTGTTGTGTCCCGCTGTCTCCCTCTGTCTTCCTCTTCCTACCCCTCTATCCCAATCCCGAACGTCACCATCGTATGCGCCGATCCATGCATTTGTCCTTCTTTCTCTATCCCCACATCTGCAGTCCCATGTCAAAACCCAATGTCTTCAGTTCTCGCATTA